ACACCTTGCATACACTGTATTTTGCACTTTCAGTAATTCAGTAAAGTTCAGAGTTTAGTGTCGTTTTCCCTTCGCCAGATTCAGTCACGCGTGGACAGTGCCCTTGGCACGATCCTCGCCGCCTCTCCCTCTTGTCTGGAGTGCCGCACGCGCGCTTGGCGCCTTCCTGGCGTCGGTGGCGCCCGGGCCCGCCTGCGCCAGTGTGTCTTGCGGCGGCCGATCCAGCGTAACGGCCGACCGGAAGCAGAACGGCGGCGCAACGCCGTTCGGCGCCGCCCAACGCTCCCTGGCTCTCCGCATGGCACATGCATGCCAGCGCAGCCCCGCTGCACAGTCACCGTAGCCTGGCACGCGCATGGCGCGCTCCCTGCCGCCGACGTGCCGCACGGCCGTCCGTTGGGGCCAGCCGTAAACCTTCCCCCCGTGCTGAGCCGGACCCTGGAATGGAACCTCTACTCCACCTAGACGATGCCCAAGCCCCTAATCCCACTACCCAACCCCGGCGCCGCCGTAATCACTCGCCGGACTTATCCCGTACGCGGCAACCGCCTCGGGCCGGCTATATATAGCACCCCCAGGTTCCCTCTCGCCCCCGCACACCTCCACTACCTCTCTGGACCCCGACCAACAACTAGAAGAGCCTCGAAGGGCCCTTCTTCCTCGACTCCGGCCGCCTCGTTCCGCCTCGGCCTCCACCTCGATTCGCTCCGGTGAGGCCGTCCCCGGCGCCCACACTTCGTCAGTAGTTTCCTCGAGCAACCAGTGAGCTAACCCAAGCATCAATTTGACCTTCGCAGCTCTCCCCGGCGAGGTCCATCTTCACCCGAGCCGCCGTCTGCCGGAGCAAGGCTCGCCGTCGACGTGGTACTCGCCGGCAACCACCACCACCACCAACCGACGCGGAAGGACGTCCTGAGCAAGGAGGTACCCCCCGATCCCCTTTCCTCGCCGTGGATCGCCGCCGGCGACCACCGCGGCTCTCGGGCTCCGTCGAGCTCAGCCGCCCGTTTTGAATTTTCAAACCTGACGGGTGGGACCTGCCCGTCAGCCTCTCTGTCCCTTTCTAAACGAACCGTTTCTGAAAGCGTATTCTGCCAAATGCGTTTTCCTCCTGGGCTGGCGTATTCTCTACCGAAGCGTTTTCAGTTTTTTATGAGCTAGCCCCTGGAAATATTCTGTTTCATTACAGATGAGTCCCTGGACTAAAACCTTTATAACTTTTAAACAGAAAAGTATTTTTGATTGATTCTTTTTCTGTTCTCTTTGAAATTTTGTCTAGTTTTTTATCAGATTTATTTGAAAAAAATTTGGAATATTTTTTGTGCACTTCTTGGTATTTACGATAGCGCCTATATTTTCTGTATACCGTAGATACCGAAGGAGGTGACGGAGCCGCGAACTTCACCGAGCTAGGCTCCGACTACTCTGAACTAGGCAAGCATGTTTTGAACTTTTGATATGATGAGTGTCTTGGCATGTTTCGCATTTAGTTAGTTTCATGGCATGTTGATGAGCATACCGATAAACGTTATTTTCATGTATGGTTAAGGTAAGTGAGCTCGATGATCCATAAGTGGATGGATGTGAGTATGAATGGCCATGGGTTGGCATGAGGATGGGTAAGATGGCAGTGTTGTAGCATGCCAGTCTTATGCCAGACTATTTGACTACAGTGTCAAATCGTATCGGTCCAGTTCCTCCCTTTTTCTTCCCTGTACTACCACATGTTTTCCGCAAGGAATATGGTTTAGTAAGTTGCAAACCGCTTTCCTAGTACACACCAAAAGGAGAGGCCGGGATGATGGTTCCATGGCCCTGGATTAAAGCCAGTCATCCGGTCAGGGGGCATGGGTGTTTCCGGTTGGGACCGAGAGGGGGGCACCCCTTAGAGCGCGCGTATATACATTTGATCCCATGCTATTCGAGATTGTGATCTCCCCGTCTCAAAGTTTTTCTTGGACGATGTCTAGGGTGAGTCCTGGCATCGAGAGATAGGATGGGTGTGTACTGGTTAGCTGTGTTTACTTCCGAAATACCATAAACGGAACTAGTCCTTCGAGACTACGGAAATCCGTTAGCTGTGGGAAATTTTTGTACAAACTCTGCAGAGTCATAAATCTCCAAATCATCTTATCCATATCCAAATTTTGCGCTGACTTATCCTGACAAGTGCCAGTTTTGGTGACAGATACTCTGGTGAATCTCATGAGCACTAAGCCCGGTTAAATATTTATTCCTGTGGATGGACTAACCCGTTTATTATCATGAACTGAATATTTATTATGAGTATTATTTACTTGTGATTAAAGCCCTTTCTGAGATGTCGCCTAGACGTCCGACTGTGGCATTTCTTTTAAAGCCCTTTCTGTGATGTCGCTCAGACGTCCGACTGTGGCATTTCTTTTAAAGCCCTTTCTGTGATGTCGCTCAGACGTCCGACTGTGGCAATTCTTTTAAAGCCCTTTCTGTGATGTCGCTCAGACGTCCGACTGTGGCATTTCTTTTAAAGCCCTTTCTGTG